AGGCATTGTGGTGTACAGATTTGCAGTATTACTGGGCATTACTAGGCATTACTAGGCATTTTTGGGGCATTAGGCCTTGCTGGGGCATTATAAAGATATAATAAGATAAATTGGATAAAAGAAGCTAAATAAGATAACATAAGGTAATAAGATAAAGTAATGCCCACTGAGCATTAGAGGTGTACTCTCTAAAAGTCAATCAGTGAATTGTCACTGAAAACAGTGAATAGTCATTGATTCGCAGTTATAAGTATACTACTGAAAATTACAGTGGCATACTTATAACTGTAAATCAGTGACTATTCACTGTTTTCAGTGGTAATCCACTGATTGACTTTTAGAGAGTACTTTTATTTGGTCAGCGGTTACCCCCTCGGTACACAGTGAAGGAAAAATGGGCAAAAATATAATGCAGAAGTAAAATAACGTGTGTTTCACGTGAAAATTTGCCGAGAAATTTGCAACACTCGATACGCAAAATACGCGCAAGTGCGTACAGTTTAAATAAATCTCTCCGATCGCGTGTAAAAGCCTACCATTGTAGCGCGCATTTGCGCTACGCGGACACTCGAGACGTTCGCCCGCGCGGTAGGAAAAGTCCTCCGGAGAGGATATTATCCTGAGGCTGCCGTGTGGACATGCACGGTCGAGCACGGTGGCATTGCACGCATGACGTTACATCGCAGTTAGATAAATCCCATTGAAACTTGACGTGGCCGCGCGTCATGCAGGACGTTGCGGCAGTACGACCGCCGCGTACGTTGCTGCGCAACGAGACTGTGCAGGCGGCCGACAGTAGATTCAAATTAATTACGGCAATGACATCGTGCCGCCGTGCGACATAAGGGAAGAGAGATTACGCAAGGCCGGAGCTTCGATGACGCGCGATACGAGCGGAGGGCAAAAATGCTCTCTAACGAGAGAACACTTCATATTTCTACGGCAGAAAGAACTCTTGAAATCGATCTGGATTATAAATATTTTAAGCGTTTGAAATGCTAAGTTGAAAAGCTCGCCGAGATGGGAGCTTACGTATTGTGATGCGCGTAACAATTGAATTAGCATGGGCTACTTCGTCTCGATCTGAATTCCAAGCTTGAACCAGCTTGGACCAGTTCAGATCACTCTGAACTCAATTGCCATATCGACGATTTAATTATTAAAACATTCCACAGATAGCGATCGTGATAGATAAATGAAGCGTTAATCGCATCGATCCGCTCATATTTTTGGCCGGGCATAACTCGTGAATTTCCTGAATACATTTTCTTTTTTTTTACGTTATTTGTATGAAAAATTCGTGTATAGAATGTAGAGGTGTTTTTTTTTTGTAGAAACGAGAAGCGTTAAAAAGCTCGCGTTTATTCAGAATTGGTTGACCTCCACGCGCTCTCTTTTTTCGTAAAGTCTCTCGTGCGAGGACACGACTATACATTTTTCAAGGCAAAGCCGAATCCGATGATTCCAGACACGTTTCGAACGTGCAACGCGGAAGGGGAAAAGGATATGGTAAGGCACTCTACGTCTGTCCATCTCGTTACCCTTCCGCGATCGCAATCTAATACGGAATGAAAGGCAAGGTAAGGCACCGTTTCACGGCGGTCACCGTCGAGAACAAGTGGACGGCGATTTCATCGTGTCGCGCTGCGAACTTCCGCGACGGGACGATTAAAGCGATTAATGAGCGAATTCTTTTTCGCGTAGAAACGAAGCCGGACGGGAAGTGCACTGACTCTGAACGATACGAGAATTCAGCAGTAGCTACAAATCGAAAAGATCGGCAAAATAATTAATCTCCCCGGTTTTCATTCAAATCAAAATCGTACCATTGAAATTTTCATAAGAATGTATCACAGAATTTGAATAAAATCGAGTTTCTCGCTCTCAATCTATGCTGTTAACAAGCACCGAAATATACTTTTATACTGAAGCTTGAAATCATTTAAGTATTAATTTTCTAAACATAAACTTGTATTCGATTAAAATTTGTAGATATCTGCAGGCATTTGTAACGATTACGACGTACTAGGAATGTTTTTGCGCTGCGAGGATAAAGCGTATCGCGGTATATATACAGGATAAAATCCGCGGGCAACGTCCCGCATGAAAAAACCGATGGGATAAGGGACAAAACACACGCTCTCTCGAGAACAGCTGGAGAGCAGCAACGTGACTTTCATTCTTTGCGCTTATTCTTATGCAGCACGCGAGCGCTGCACTTGAGCGCACGCTGGCGCAAATCGGCCAATTCCGACGCGAGATTTTTCGTTTCTTTTCGCATCGTACACAAACGCCCTATCGAAGTTCCACCGCGTCGGGACAACGGCCGGAAAGATGTAACGACACGTTACGTCTACGCGCGGCGTGAGAACTTAAAGATATCCGCGCGATACCTGAATGACGAACTCGTCGCTGTGACTCTCGATTTGCGTGTTTTGGCTACGGTAAACGTGAAATGTGCAGACTCACCTTCCTGATTGGGGTTGTTGGTATTCGGATGCGACGAAGTCAGGGAAGACGGTGTCTCGTCCTCAGCGACGCCCATCGTCGTAGCTGCCGTTTGCTGATGATGCGTCTCCACTTCAGTCGCCTCTTCACACCTGCGCATTAATTATGAGACTTGTGATAACTCTGATCTCACGTCTGAACAACTAAGCGACTTTTATCAAGAGAGTTATACGTGCGGTTTTGCCTTTGCAAAAAAGAAACTCTTTAGATAGACGTTAAATACAGTCAACGCCAAGAGACGTTGTTTTTTTTTCTTAAATGCAAATTATTTTGCATTACGTCTTGCAAATCGCGTAAATAGAAAAAGATACGAAATATTTTCTTACAATTAAAGCAAGAGCGCACTACGATAATATTTTACGAAAATACGATGCTATCTTATGAAAATAATTTATTTAATTGTTTTAACAGATAAACTGAATTTATATTTATCTAAAAGACAAATAGATAACTATTTCGGTTTAGCTTTCATTTGCATGTAATCACGTTGTGCGCTGCATTGCGCTGCCTCGGGTGTTATTTGAAGCATATTCGTATTAGTTTCGTTTGCTCTGCTTTGTTATCTTCAACCAGTCTAAATACGGATGCTCCCGTGATATCGCAAAGGTCTACTGACTTTTTTCGTTATCGCAAATAAATCGTACGAAAACGCTAATGGCGAAAAGACACAATTTTCTCGGCGAGAGAAACCTCCTATAAAAATACTGTGAGAGTAAAACTCTATTACATTCAGCGAAAAAGCTAACGTAAAAGCGGAGCTAAAAATATATGCGAAGGATTAAAAAGTGGAAGAGGAATAAATTGCTCGTGAAATTGGAAGTCGAACTTGTAGCTACGGCGGACCTTAAGGTCCATCGAAGAGAGAGGAAGAGAAGCGTGCGTCTGTATAATATCACCGCGTGTCCGTAAAACAAGCGACTAGTGGAAATTGAACGCCGCGGTCGTACTACACGAAAAGAAAAGTGTAGCTGCCGTAGCTAAAAACTGCATGTGGCAACTAAATTTCAGTTGTAAAATATGGACAGCTAATATTTAGTCGTGATAGCTATTTTGCTATACTATGCCTATTGTATCGGGTGCGAAACAAAACCGTTTGCTGTGCTTTAGAAATTTATAGTTACGGCAGCAAAATACTTTTAGCAAACCATAATTAACTACGGTAGCGAAACTTTTTTTTCCAGTGTAGGAAGATTTCGTGCCGATGGTCGAGCATCGTTGCATCTCTCACCGCGTGCACCTACGCATAACCCGGGCGCGCTGCAGCGGTCGGAGAGGCATTCATCGGATCACGGCTTCCGCCAATCTCCTCCCCGCTTCCCTCTTCCTCTCTTCTCTCTCGCTCTCTCGTTATCGCCGTATTGTCTCCGGGCGAGGCACGCGCGTGCACGCGCTCATTGTCGCCGGTAATTACGCACGTGCAATTACGCGCGCGGGGCCGGTGCGTCCACAGTGCAAGTGTGGATTAGTGCACACGCGGCGCGTCGCGCGTAACGTCGGTGACACCGTCATCCGAGTGCGGTCCAGCCCGCGAAATAGAGACGACGACGGCGGCGACGACGGTGCGGGGCTATAACGGTATGTTGACCTCCGACGCCAATTGCTGCCTGCTTGCACAGCGCACGCGGATGCGGACTGCACGCCGGGGAATGTGTGCATCCGACGCGCGCGTCGGCTTTTCGGATGAGGTACGACGAGCTATCGATTAATCGGCGATGTGCAGCGCAACGGTGCTCACTTTTTCGCGAAACTCTTGTGCGCGTGACAAAACCGCGCGAGTTGTGTAATTACTGATCGCGCTTGATACTGGGTCGTGCGAATTAGGTAATAATCTTATAATTTTACTTCTCTCTTGGATGAATTTCTAAAAGTAATTTGTAACAATTTGTATAATTTTTCAGTTAAAACAAAGATAATTTTAATCTTTAAACAGTAAATTTAATAATTTAAATTCTTTTGATAAAGTAATCAGTATCGAGAGTGTGAGAGAGAGAGAGAGAGAGAGAGAGAGAGAGAGAGAGAGAGAGAGAGAGAGAGAGAGAGATCATTCATATTGCAATTAAAAGAAAAAAATTCATGTGTAACAGTTAAAATTCATTATTAATATAATATTATGTACTTATAACGGATTGAAGCAAATTCTTTCGTCAATCAAGATTCAACTAATAATAATATTCTTTCAAAACGCTCTTTCAATCTAGCGGAACCGATCGTTATCTTAGCTAACGAGTCCACGAAACAGAGTACAAAATATACATACAATAACAACTTTTGAAGCAGGATATAAGAAATAATTGTACGTAGATATTTCGCATGAAATAACGTTAAATGTCTCGAGGAAACGAGGCTAACTAGCGTTCGACCTTAATGTTGTTTGGCAGCGCGCGACCTCGAACGCAAGGTCTCCGCGCGTGACATTATCATTCGCGTATCGAAACTCGAGCCGGTAGGTAGTCCACTCGCGGTCTGCTCCGCGTGTCACCGTTTTACTTATTGAAACGAGATCATTTTCTACGGACTATCACCACGACTTGCAACTCGTGCAATTAATTAACTTGCGCAATTAACGACTACATAAATTTCGTAAGTATTTTCATCGGAACACCAATATATCTCGCGCAAAAACATGTCACTTAAGAATCAAACAGGATGCGATAAACAAAACCGGATGTGATAAGAACTTTCTAAGCATCGTGACATTTTACGCCCACGAACAATAATGATTTCTTCAGCGAGACATGCGTGAATGGATCTCGCTCTGAATGTTTTCGATCTGGACGCAATGTGTTCATCGATTTGCGGATTGAGAGCGCGAGATAACGTACGAATCGCTGAATATCTCAAAAACAAAGAGATTCCGTTCGATGCGCTAATTCGCGAGGTCCGCGGATATCACGCTAGTCGTAGAGCTTCCGCGTTATATTCGCGATCGCGTTTCGATGGGACTCCGTCGCGATGTAAAATAATAAAGCGCGCGTCGCGTGCGACTAACATCGCGAGTGTCGTGCAAAGTACGGGCAATTATTCTATCGCGATGATTAATACGCGCGATCGTAATTAACCGCGTTTTCGCGAGTGCTGTGTTATAGCAGTGTTATAGCAGACGACTCCGACAGGAGAGGATGACCTGAGAGTTTCAATGTAATCACAATCCCGCCGCTCCACATCGTATCGGTGAGTGACATATCCTTTATTAAGGTAATGGACTTCGTGCAAATTATATATCGGGTATAAATAATAAGTACGTAAACGTATATGCACGTATATGATAAGAGTTAAGAGTATTAGAAAGAAGTATAACATGTCATAGAGATCTATTATCTTGAAACAGATGGATTGAATAGATTAGTATAAAAATTTAATCTTGGAGAGTTTGATAATTGTCAATTAATTAAATATTGACCTTAATTTTGAGAAAGTCAAGCACAAAATTTTCAAAAAGCGTATGATAATAATGTATTCTATTAATAATTTTATTTAACTGTACATAAAAACATTTTACGTTTAAGTTATAGAATTATGATTTCTATCAATTTTCGAGACTATACAAATAATGAGAAACAATGAAAGAAGAATAAAACTATGATAAGTAAAATTAATTAATACCTTGAGAATATAAAAGTTTTCTAAACAGAATTTGCGCTTAATTTCTATATGCGTTTCCAAGCAGAAAGATTTAAATGCGATAATATTAACTTATACGAGAAAGGGATATTTCGAAATTCTTTATCTGCATTTCGTATTTTAAAATGCTACTAACAAAATATAAAATATTTCGCCATAGTATATTTTAATTAATTTACTTAATAAAGGGAGAAAAATACTTCATGATTCTTGATTATATTTATTCTTAAAATCAATAAATCAGTTTTAATCAAATTTATCACGGTCTATTTATTGATAAGTTTAGCTTTATAATATTCAAACAAAGACATTTAATATCGTTACTCAATATCTGTTTCATCTCATGTATACCATAGTGTTTCACAATCGTGTAATATTTTAAGAGCATCAGATTTCGTGGGAATAATCGTCCGCTCCTCGCAATTAGTTGAGCAATTTTTAGTCAATTAGTTTTTAATCAATCCCTAATTAAAATATTACTATTGAACCATCTACGTCTCAAGATATGGAAATTTAAACGTGCTCTATCGCATCTAATATGCTTTTCCATACGAGATTCATGTAACAACTGCAGATACGAAAGCTAAGTTATCGCATCATGAAACTCTCCCATCTCTTGTTTTCAAGAAACCGACGATATATGACTCACATGCACGACCTTGCGAGTGAGAGTTAAATATAGCTGATAGCTATAACCAAAAAAAAAAAAAATCGCGCGCACATTCACCTTATATGCACCAGTCCAACAGCACGTTTAATTTCTTTTCGTTGCAAAGAACATCTGCAAAAAATGCCCCTGAACCTCTGCATATTAATACCATCCTTTACAAAATAAATTATCGAGTCATGCCATTTAATTTTCGAAGATAGAAAGAATAGAGGAAGAATATCGGTATCTAAGTTAAAAATTTGCACTTTTATTTCGTTGTCTTATTTTGTAAATGATAAAAGATGACAATTACGCGCAGATTAAAAATTAGAAACGCAAAATAAAAGTATCGCGCTCTCCAGTATTATTATATTACTAAAACACTTAATAACTTACTGCAAAAATCGAGTATTATTCTTGATTTGACAAACTTATGATCGATAAGCAGGCAAGCGAAGCGCAAGGCGCCGCGTGAGTCGAAACAAGCTGCACGACGAGCATCGAAATCGAAAGTGAACACCGAGTCGTGATTATTTCACTAACAATGCGACGGTGTTGCATGCGATTTTTCCTTAATAAAGGCGCGTTAACAACTCCGGCGCGATAGATCGCGTTTCGCTTATGACGACGAGATGAGAGAAATCGGATCGGGCCAAATTCGCTCGGAGAGTTTGCGTTCGCATAAAAAAAAAATTACGTGTATAACGCGCAATAATTTTGAAATAATTGAATCTTATTTGTTGGCCATTGCGGCGTTTATCCATTATGCATCGCCAGCTTTACCGAGAATTTTATAACAGAGTACACGCGTTTCTTTTGTACTTTATTGATTTAGGATATCAAAACTAGAAAAATCACTGTCGCAACTGCGATCGATCTGCACTGCGGCATAAATATAAATCTCGATGCAGAAGGTAAAAATAATAATTAAAAAGCGGAATGCTTTCTCTCGAATGTTATTTTTTAATAAATATTAATTGCGACATGCGAGCGCTGTAATACGAGCGAATTTAATAAGTTAAAACGCGCTATTTTAATTGAAACGCGAGCAAGTTACGAAGTAACGATCTGCTCGCCGTAGCGTGCATACTCTCTGAAATCGACGTTCTCCAGGCATCCGAGGGAACAGTTTGCGCTCGATCGTCTCGTTCATATTAAACAGCTTGCATTACAGTTTGATGAAAGCAAACAGTTTGCCGGTGGTGTTAGGGAACATTCGCGAGACCGGCCGTGCAGCGTGGACGCGGTTTAACCCCCGCAAGAAGTTTCTCAAAGATAAAACTGACATCCAACTGCAATTTTCTTATCGCAGCCGCGATAAAATAATAGCTTAACTCGCAGGCACGTAACACACTAACGCGCAATAACATTGCCACGGTCGTGCGAATTGATCGATTCTCCCGGTTTTCCCACCTTTCGCTCGCGGTCTCGCGCAAACACTTGTGCCCCCGTCGCGTTACGCGAACCGCGGCGGAATTATATTAATTGCACCTACAAGTTGTCGTGCTACGATCGTGATGTTGAGGTATGGGCTCGGGCAACGAAACGCGCAGACCGGCACGTAATCGCTGTCGGTTTCCCATCACGTCTTTGAAAACGCTCGTAGAGAGAGAATTGGCGGAGCGCGGCGCTCTCTCGCTCTCTCGCTCTTTCTCTCGTTTATTCCTCACCCCGCCATCTCGTTCTCCTCGTCTCTCATCCGCGTGTCGAGGTTTCAGGTCGTTTCTCTCCCGGCCAACGACCGTCCACCTTCAGTTTTGTATCCCCCCCAGACAGCGCGCGCCTTATACGTCGACAGGTAGATGCAACGTTCGAGATATATACGCGTCCAGGGTGGTCCAACGATAAGGTCCGAGAATCGAGCAGGACTCTCTTTCTCTCTCTTCGTCGGCATTGTCGCTTAGAGCTGCGCTTCCGTATGGATCACGTCTCTCGGGTCTAAGCCCGAATTGATTAAATTGGGTGGAATAAGCCTGATGTGTATTTGTATTACTTCCTTAGTTCTTTTAGCCAACAATTGGCAGTAAACGGATGTCGTAATTAATATTACGAATTATGAATGTATAACAAAATTTACATCGCACAACAAAGTACCAAGACGTGTATTAAACCGAGCGTCTCAAGCACGTGACAATTATTTTACTTTTTCGAGACTCTATTTCGTAAAGGCCTGTGTCCACGATGCTAGAACTTGGTCCAAGTTCTAGTTTCGAGAAATGTGTAGCCAATCGACTTGCAGCTATTCCATAAAAGCTGCGGTTCTAGCATCGTCGACACAGGCCTTTACGAAACAGAGTCTTGAAGAAGTGAAATAATTGTCACGTGGTTAAAACTCTCGGTTTAATATACGTTTTCGTACTTTCTTGTGCGATGTAAATTCTGTTATACATTCATAATTCGTAATATTAATTACGATATCCGTTTACTGTAATTGTTGGCTAAAAGAACTAAGGAACTATTACAAGTACAACCCATAAAAGTTGCAAGTTGATTGGCTTTCACATTTCTCGGAACTAAAACTTGTACCAAGTTCTAGCAGTTCGTGGACGCAGGCCTTAAGAACGTATCTTTTAGGTTCAAATATTGAGGTGATATTTCGACGAATGTAGACAAAACAATAAATAGGCGGAGTTGTTGAAATTTATGATAGAATTTCATAATAATGATATCTGTAATGAAGTAATGGTAAAAAATGGTATGAAATTTATATAATATAATAATAATTGGTAGCAATAGACGGCGGTGCAAATTTTATACAATAACAGTGGTGATGAAATGATGGTATAAAATGATAATTTTCACGTTGCCTGAACGCTGCCGTAATTAACATCCTTATGCTCCGCTTGGGAATGGCCGCGAAGTGGATAAAAATTAATCCAATTTAATCGCCCGAGAGACAGATAAGGGTCGGCAACCGATCAGGTATCGGGTATCTGACTCGTATTTATCCACGTCAAACATTCTTTATCGAAGTGTCAATGTTTTCTCGCAGTTATCCCCGTGGAATTAAATATCCGTCCCATTTGCATCCTTCTCAATCACGTCGGTTTCCCAATTGAACCCCTTCCCCACTCCCCCCCCCCCCTCACCCTCGTATCCGCACGCATCTTAGAGCCCTCTTATTTCGCTTTCTTGCCCCGGCCACGGCGATATCCCGCGCAACACTTTCGCGGTCGCGCGGGAAGGGAGCGTGACGAGAAGGTGAAGGGAACAAAGGGGTGAGGATAGAAGTGACGCAGGTGGAGGAGGGGGCAGAGAGTAGATCGGCCCTTGGCAAAAAGCGGCATCCAAAGTGTCGGCCGACCGGTTTCGCGCGCGCATGTACCTGTCACGTATACCCCTTAAACGCAGCGAGACAGAGAGACAGAGACAGGGAAAGAGAGGAGAGGAAGGGGAGGGAGGGAGGGAGGGAGGGAGGGAGGGAGGGAGGGAGGGAGGGAGGGAGGGAGGGAGGGAGGGAGGAGGGAGGAGGAGGAGGAGGAGGAGGAGGAGGAGGAGGAGAGAGGAGAGAGAGAGAGAGAGAGAGAGAGAGAGAGAG